TATTTTTAAAAATGCCTAAAACATTAATTTTAAAATTATGTAAGAATATGATGTAAGAGTGCAATCTGTGGCAAAATACGATGCAGTAGCAGGTGCAGGTGCATAGGGCTGTTGTGGTTTATTTTTACTATTAAAGCACCATTGCATCTCCAGGGTCTTCAGTATTCCTGCCCACCAGCACTCTGGACCTCTCTTGCTTCACAATCACATAAACAAAATCCATACAATAAACACAGACAAGGACCCGTGTAAGACACACATAGACATAATATACATTTGAATACATAGTTTGCTATATTAAAAGATATATGTTATATAATATTATTATAAGATAGATTGATAGATATTTTGTTCTAATTGTCTGCAGCACACTGCTAATCAGGTTTTGCTACTAAGATTTCCTGTAGAGTAATAAAATCCTAGAGATGAGTTCTTAATTGTTTCTGCACTTTCTAGCATTGACCATCCAAATTGATTCCCTTTAGTGACACCCATAAGTCTACTTTCAGCAACAGAGTTCAGGATGTCATTGTCAATAGTGATGAGCGATATGTCACCACAGAATATTCCTAAGAAAACACTAAAATCAGTGATCTGTACATCTATGTCCTATGGTTCAAAGGACACATCCTTCAAAAATCCATGTCAGGACCTAACAGTCAATATAACCACATCACCATATGAAGTGTTTAGATGGTGACTGAGTCTTACGATGTGATTCACCTCTGCCTCATGATTGGGGCCAGGGTCCTTGAACAAGTTTTAAGGGAACTAGCAAGACTTTTTCCTTTCTGTTTGCCATCATACGAGGACACAATCACCTCTGCTCTTTTTCTCTCACATCCTTCTCTTCTCCAACAGATGAAATTTTAGCAAGTATCTGCTAGGAGGAGCAGATTCATACTGGTCACCAAATCTGGACACTCAGCCTTGAGCTTCACCTCCTTCATAACTGTACAAAAACAAATTTCCCTTCCTTATAAACTGCCACATCTGAGGCATTTTGTCCTAAGTATAGAAATAGACTAAAATACCGTATGTGTGATCCTTTTAAACATTTCATCATACTAATGAGAATCATTAGCTAGTTTCTCTCGATGTTGTAGGAGGAAAGGAAAGGGAAAAAGGATGGGTTGGTAATTTTAATTACCATATTAACACAGAACTGAATGTTTGTCCACTTATCTCCTGTAACTAAGCAACTGAGACCACTCCTACCCAAGACAGCCCTATGAGTGGCTGAGCTCAAGGGCAAAGTAAACTCCTAATCAAGCTTCATGCCCTCTGTAACAGTGGGGGCATTGGTAGCAAATATATAAGATTCTGATATGTGAGATGACACTAATCAAACTGCAGACACTGATACTTAAATTTTGGTACATCTTCTTGGACAAAAAAACTTACTGTTCCTCCCTCCACAGAATTCCACTTTGTATGAAGAGATTATATCTACACTGCCCAGGGAAATTTAATGAGCAATCCAGATACAATAACCTTATGAGATAAAGGTGATTTTCTAGGGACATTTTTTTTTCTGTTTCCTTCTTGATTTCCAGCTAACATAAGTCCCAGAAGGCCTCTCAGGAGCATGTGATGTGTGAAGAAGTTTACTGATACCTAACAGATCTCCCTGAGTTTTCTACTTTGCACAGAAAGAAATCTCAAGCATATACCTGATATTATATGCATATATATATTAAGTGTAAATATTGTGAAAGGAAGGTAAATTTGAATCAGGTCAAAAATAATGAAAAAAGCTTACAAAGTAGAGATTTTGTATTAAGTAGATTTCAGAATATTAGAAAGAATGCATGTTGTTTATTTGTTTGGTTGAACTGCAGCATAAAAAGTAGGCAATAACACGTGACCTGGAAATCCTAGATATCACAATAGAGAAGGCTTCAAAGCCTTAGAGAACTTAGAATGTTAGAATACACTTTTTATTTTTAGCCTGCATAATACATGGCCTGTGAGGAAAACACTGCTTTCTACCACAGGCATAAGGAATGATTTTGTGAGGGGAACCCTGGCATCGTTAAAGAGCCCCATGGTCACAGTTCTCTGTAGGCTGCTTCTTGCACTGAGAACTGAGGTCACTGAATGGGGAAACTTTATAATGGAAAGGCTTGGATTCCACATGGTGGGGCCACCTGGCTGCACTCGACTGTCAAAAGCAGAGTGGGTGAATTTGTGCTAATGGACAGCAGACTCTAAGCAGGGCTCAGAGTAAGGATAATGCAATGCTGAGATACCAGCTAGATGGTTATGGGGTTGCTGGAAGGAGGCAGGAAACAAGCCTGCTGAGTTATTTTTTAATGACTATTAGTGAATACCATCTATACAAATCAATGAGTTTCACTGTGACATTTCAGGCATGCCTTAGTGCACAATTCTTTAACCATATTCATCCAATCGATTGAAGGTCTAAATATAGTAAAACTCCATTTTCCCTTATAAGAAGGATTCTCCAAATGAGTGCCTTTGGGCCCACTGCATCATCATCTCCTCTAGAGCTCTTCAAGCGTTCCTCCAAAATGCACATCAGCTCCTATGGGTCTGATCTGCTGGCTAATACTGCAGATCCAGAACTGCAACTGGAGGAACCTATTTCTGAGAATAATCTCTCTGTCTCCCTCTGCCTCTCTGTCTCTCTCTCTGTCTCTGTCTCTCTCTCTCTCTCCATATAGATATTTATGTACAGTTTCTATAGGGCACTCTAACACAATCATTACTAAAACTTGCAGAAATCAAGAGGTGCACATGAAAAGCGAACAATGATTTGCAAAGGAAAAATGATACTTTAAGCTTTAAGGGATATGACACATAAAATGTACAGGAAACAAATTGTAAAGTGGCATAAATATCTTCATATGATCATTACTTGTGATTATATGATAGATAGCATGTAAGTGAAAGGTGGAAAAATCAGCATTCCGTGATACCAAAAGTGACAGGTTATTAGACAAAACAGACTATGAATTTTAAAAATCATTATTAAATAAATAAGTATATATTGATAGAGACATCAGATATTGAAGAGGATATATTTGAAAACACAGTCATCTAACAACAGGTTTCCAAAATATATTAAATAATTGTCAATATAACTGAAGAGATGAATAGATGGTTTGACAGTATTAAATGAGGACTTCTGTGCCTCATTTCCATACTGAATAGAATGGCTAGGAAGAAAATGAAAAGAAGCAGTGGACAAAGCAACACCATCACCCAGCAATACGTGTGTCTTAATAGACAGCACTGAGCACCTTGCCCAGGAACTGTATTTTGCTCCTGAAATATCCTCTAGGATAAATCATATTCTAGACCATGAATCTGGTCTGAATAAATTTGCAAATATAAAAATAAAAAAGTATCTTCACTGGTTATGAGATAAAAACAAAAATTTGAGTAATCACAGTATTGAAATATCACTAATGCCAATGATCAGAAACTAATTTAAGAAAAATCTACATAGTAAATTTATAAATGTAACTTCAAAGTTTAACAATAAGAAAGACCTCAATAAAAAACCTAAATTTGAACTTTAAGTAAATAATCTAAAAGTGAAAATTTAAACTAGAAGTAGCAGCAGAAGAAAGAAAAAAATAAAACACAGAAAATGAAATATAGAAAGACAATGAGGAAAATCAATGAACTTAAGGTTGACTCTCTGGAATAGTTGCCTTTAAAAAAAAACTTTCAGGATACAAAAAAGAAAAAAATTCTCAAGTTTCTATAACAAATGAAAATGAAGATATAACTACTTGAGAAGGGATATAACAGAATATAAAAAATATACCTATATGTGCTATATTATATACAAAACACAAATTTTAGGGAAAACAAACACTAATAAAACTAACACAAAGGAAAAAAATTCTAATTATACCTATAACAAGTATAGAGGTCAAAGTAATAATAATAATAATAATAATAATAATAATAATAATAATAAAACTTTCCAAGAAAGAAAAGCACAGAACTAGATGGATTCCTTTGTGAATTCTTTGAAACAAAGAATCACAGTGCGTGAATAAGACAGAGAAGAAACCATAGTGTTTTTATTAATTTGCTATGGTTCTTGTAACAAATTCCTATACATTTGGAAGTTTACAAACTGTTGTAGTCAGGATTTGCAATGCCACAGACTAACACAGGACACACAATTTATAGATTATAGTAGACATCCAAAAAGTCAAATCCAGAAGGCGAGGAATCTGAACACACACTACAGACTCCAGGAATTCAGCTGAAGTCCTGGATCCCACCACAATGTCCTGCATGAGTCCAGCTGCAGACCTAGAGCCCCTGGCAATGTCCTCCACTAGTGCAGCTGGAGGCCTAGAGCCCACGACGATGTCTCACACCAGTCTGTATCAAGAGAAGGCCCAAAAGTCAGTGGCAGAAGCTAGAAAGTCTACACCACTGGAACTGTGCCTGTAGGTAGAAGATCTGCACTGGAGCAAAGAAGCCATGATCAAGAAAAGTACCAGGGCCAACCCCAAGAAAGAACCACAGCCATCCTCAGCAACAGCAAGGATATAAGCTCATCTGATGATGAGAACAGCTGAGTTCATACCAGAAAAACCAGAGCAACAAGATACTCCAAGAGGATCAGCACCACACAATCCCCCACTCCAGTTCTCTCATAGGTGTAGGTGATTCTACCTCTCCGTGAGTTCCTCCACAAGGTCTTATAACGTCCAGTTCCTAAGTGGAGAGTGACTCCTTTATACATATCTTCAGGCACAGAGTGTGTGACATGATGGAATGGCTTCAGAGACATGAATGGGAACAGAATGTTTGAACCAAGGTGCAAAGATCCTGAAGCTTGGACATGGTACCATAAGGAAATAAGACAGAATCAGTGAGGTAAAACACCAGGGAAGCAACAATAAGGAATTTAACTCAATTCAAGATTGGATAGTCAGCGTTAATAATTTCAAAGTATTTGCCAAAATATGTAACATCTTGAAGTGATAAAAAGAAAACCCTAAAGGTTATTTTGCCTCCAAAACAATTTTTGTGAATGCACTCTTGACATCTTTGTTCCTCAAGCTGTAGACCATAGGATTTAACATGGGGATGACCATGGTGTAGAACACAGAGGCGATTTTGTCCGTGTCCATGGAGTGACTGGAGCTGGGCTGCAGGTACATGAAGATGACAGTGCCGTAGAAGATGGAGACGGCAGTGAAGTGGGAGGTGCAAGTGGACAGAGCTTTGCGATGTCCACCACCTGAGCGCATCTTCAAGATAGAGGTAAAAATCAGTCCATAGGATGTTAAGATAACAACAAGAGCAGAAAAGATGTTGAAGGCTGCTACAAATAAAAGGACCAGATCATTAGCATGCCTGTTAGAGCAAGAGAGAGCCATGACTGCTGGAATATCACAGAAAAAATGGTGGACCACATTGGAGCCACAGAAGGAGAGACTGAACGTGTTCCCAGTGTAGATGGAAGCGCTCAGGAAGCCACAGGTGTAGCAGCCCACAGCCAGCCCTGCACACACGCCTGCTGTAACAGTGCTGGTATAGCGCAGGGGCTTACACACTGCTGCGTACCGATCATAGGCCATGGAGGCTAGGAGGTAATTTTCCACAGTAGCGAAGCCTGTGACAAAGAACATCTGAGCAGCACAAGCATTGTAGGAGATTACTTCCTCCATGAAAATAAAGCTGGCCCAAATGGTGGGAATGACAGATGAAGAGTAGAGGAAATCCACCAGGGACAGGTTTCCCAGGAAAAAGTACATAGGGCTGTGCAGACGGGAGTCCAGGAGGATGAGCAGGATCATCCCCAGGTTCCCAGCCACAGTGATGGTGTAGATGAGGAGGAAGGTGATGAAGAGGGGAAGCTGCAGGTGGGGGTCAGAGGTCAGTCCCAGCAGCAGGAACTCTGTCACCTCTGTCCTGTTCCTCATCAGTGCTGTCTGAAAATTTCAAGATATTGCATAGGCTTAGGGAAAAAAAAGAAAATAATAAAGACATGAATTGAAATTGGAAAATATGAATCATAATAATAACTTGTGCTTCAAAGATTCTTCACAATAGAACCAGCTCGAAAATCATCTTTGCTCACACATGCTGTAGAATGTGAGGAGTGTTAATGAATCACCTACCAAAGTTTTAAATTTCACATATTTGTCCACTGAGGTGAGGAATAAAATGAAATGTACGTACGTGTGTCTTCCATCTCACTCCTGAACTCTGTAAATTAGGAAGTACAGGAGATTGAGCAGTATATCCATATTCACACAAAGCTTATTTGTCCATCTCTGCTCTGTACCCAGGCCATGCTGGGGCACTTCTAATGGTAATGATGCACAGTGAATTTAAATCAAGATTAACTTAACTCAATTTATGATTACGCCTTGTTTGCTTTGGCTCAATCTCAGTGTTTGAGATTTCATGATGAACTGAGTGATTATTTACTTGTTCAGCATTTCATTCACTATGTTTGCCTCTGACTAAAGGTAAAGCAAACGGTCCAAACTGTGAGAGAAATGACCTTATTTCAATCTCAACTGTCCTAAAGGAGTGACTAAGCTTGGAATTATATAGTAACCTGTCTGACACTCATGCTCATGTCCACATTTGGTAGTGGCACAGTTAAGAACATGAACAGTTGAATAGCTGGAAAAAAGTTTGAACTCTGAAATCAATGGGATGCAGCACTCAGTAGAGTGAATTATGAGGTGGGTACCCGGGTGGGCGGGAGCATGTGGTTTGCAGAGGAGCAGTGAATAAGACTTAGCAGACAGAGCTCAGGTCCTGGAGGACACACAGATCAGACCTACCTTACACCACTGAGGAATCGCTGCTGCTAACAAGACTCCTCAGAGCTCCATATTTCCACCTGCAGGAGGAAGCAGCAATGAGACCTGCTCTGAGGTGTCCCTGTGAGAAGAAAGGAAGATCACACACAAGACACAAGGAAAGGCCGGGAACTCCCAGTCCCCTGAGTGCTGGCTATCATGCTATAGTTAGGATGAAAGCACCATCTTTATGCTGGTTTGATCCAGATGCTGACACGTGGGCTTCCATTGTGGGGATTTGTAGTCTTGGACCTTCTTTCATATCACTTTTTGTTCCTCCTGCCCACTGAGATGCTCTGTGCTCTTCACTATTTCTCCATTGGATGTTACCTCAAGCACATGACCATTGCTCCTACAATCCTATGTGGATTTTTCCTAATTTCATCCTTGAAATCTATATTGGAGCTGCAGAAAAAGGTTGTGTTCTTACTCAAACATGTTCTTTCCTTTCTGACTGTTAGGTTATATTAAAATTACAGGCACTGAGGATTACAATTTCCCAAGTAATGAGTTCTTATTCCTTTGAAGATCTGTTTGGAGGACAAATTTCATGTTTTATATTAATTGAAATGTCTTTTTTATGTAATAGAAGTGCTTAACATTTCTTTTTAGCATTAAACCTTTATAAGGGAATCATACGGAGCTAACAAATATCGTCTCCTGTTTTTCTCCAAAGCTTTTTGACACCTGCAATTTATGATGCTTCCGGGAAAGCATTATGGTTGCCCATCTTATGATACATGGTCATGTTTTATCATATATTGTGTTCTAGGGAGAATCATAATGGATATACACAGAAATTGTGTGTATGCATGTATATGTGTGTGCACACATGCATGCAGTTGGTAGTATTATTCTTACTTTCTCAGTAAGGATTCAAGAATTGGAGAAATGATGTAGAGCTCTAAAATTGTGCAGGTAGTATATAAAAGACTGGACTCAAGTATTAAATGCACCTCCCAGGAATAAACGCGAGTGTTGATCTAACGACCTAACTGAACTTAAGGGCCTCTACAACTTGCTTTGCTGTTCAAAGAAAGACTATCTCACTATAAAAGATTTTTGTCTGTCTAGTTTTTAATCTCCGATGAGATTAAAATATGTTCTGAATAAAATAAAATTGCCAATAAAACATTTGTTTTATTGTCATTCACATTTTTTTTGGGAAAGAAAGTATTTCATATAGATAAAGTCCTTGTATTAGTCACTATGTCCTGAATCATTTCAGTTTTTTAAAATATTGCAAAAGTGTCTATTTCTATTTGCAAATAACTTGTAATAGGTGTAGGCAGTGCACTACTTTTACTGAATTGTGATTTAAAACAAAAACTATAAAATAAAGAAGTTTACCAGTGTGCCAGAGAAAGAGTAGTAATCAATACAGAACAATGCTTTTGAAATCATACACCATTCATGGGAGATTACATACATTCTGTTAAAGGAATCCCCTCACTTACAAAAAATTCTCCCACTTTCAGTCAGATAAAAAAAATGGAGACAAGGTCGTTAATGTAGATCAAGTTCCAAATCCACCGTTATTTCTATGTCCAGAGAAGAATCACTTACCTCCTCTGCAGCTAAAAAAACTAAATATAGGTTGTTTGTCTTAGATAATCCACTGATTGTGTCTGTAACAGAAATGAAAAAGGTGATGACACAGGTGTGTAGTGTCATCACTGAGCCCTGCCTGGGCAGTTTAAAGACTTAGCAATACGCCCAGTATCAAAATAAAAAATAAAAATGAGTAGGGATATAGTTCCATGTAGAGGCCCTGGATTCAATACCCAGAAATGCAAAAACAAACAAACAAACAATCAAGTGAACAAAACCTGGTGAGGTGGTCATTTCAGGTTATCGTATTATATCAGGTATTTTCCTGATCATAGTAGCAAGCCCCTGAGAAAGTCTTAGGACAGAAGAAACTTCAGTGTTAAAAATGACTATCACCCACAGGACTAAGCTGTTTCCATGGGGCGTGGTGTACACGGAGTTTCTCCTGAAAGGCAATGGTGCTGGGTCACAGGGAGACCACAGGTCTACACATGGGGATTGGGGGATCATTGCACAGGCTTGAGGAGCTCTGGAGATTTTCCCCATCAGTATCTATACCTCCCCCTCCTGCTTTCCCAGGGTGCAAGCAATTAAAATGTCTGTAGAGATCAACCTGGCTATTATATTTTCAAAGTTAATTTACTTTTAGTGATAAATGAAAATATAAATGTTCTACAAATCAATTATTTACTATGTTACGTGTCTATCCAGGTATATATTGCATATGGTTCAAATCAGATGAAATATGTTTGTCTCCTAAACACTTAACATTTCTTTAGGATGTAAGCCGATCTATTTGCCATTAACACCCCTCAAAATACACCTCCTCATCTCAAACACACTTACGCCAGAAGCCATTGGGTGGAATTCCAGTAAATAGGGTGGATGCAGGCATACCAATATGCTTTTTATTTTATTATGACAAGGAAAAAAAAGAAACACATTGATATAAAATTTCAAAACAAGGTTATAGGAGAATACAATGGTTGATACATTCTGTACTGTTATTTGCAAAGTATTTGCTGAGATTACAAATTGTAGGCATGCAAACTGGATCAATATAATATAAGCACTAACTTTTCAGTGAATTAATAGAAAACTGTATGATAATTATATGGTCTTACATTGTATTCACTTACCTATAAAAGCCTCAAGTTTATCCTTCTTTGTGGCTAAGTAGTACTCAGTTGCACAAACATCACAAATCTATCCATTCCTTGGTTGATGGACATTTGGACTGTTTCCAGGATTTAACTGCTACAAATTGTGCTGCCACACACCAGTGCACATATATTGCTGGGGTACAATGATTTTAATTCTTCTGGGAAAATATCCAGAAGGGGAATAGCTGAGTCAAAGAGGAACTCTGTCTAGTTTTTTGAAGAATCTTCACATTGACTTCCAAAATAGTAGCACCAATCTAAACAATCACCTACAGTGGAGAAGGGTTCACTTTTTCCCACAGTCCTGTGAGAATTGGTTCTTGTGTGATTTCTTGATGATGGAAGCTCAGGATTGTTTTCATTTGCATCTCTCACATGACCAATTATGCTGAACATTTTTTCACATATTTATTTGCTGTTTGTATTTCTTCATCTGAGAAGTGTGTAATCATCTCAGATGCCCATTTTTGGATTGGGTCTTTCATTTTGAGAGTTCTGACTTTTTTCAATTCTTTATATGCTCTAAATGTGTTTGTCTGAGGGACAAGGGTTAAGATTTTTTCCAACAGTGTGCGCTGCCTTTTCACTCTGTTGGTGATTTCTTTTGAAGTGAAAAGCTTTTCAACAGATGTGATCTCAACGGTTGATTCTTTGAAGTGTTTCTTGTGTAGTCTGGGTTTTGTTTATGAACTCTCGGCCTACAGCTATATCTTCAAGATTTCCACCAACATTCTCATCCAGTATATTTAGTGTTTCCTTTTTTGGTACTTAGATTCATGTTGACTTTAGTTTGTTGCATGATGATAGACATGGGTCTAGTTTTAGTCTTTTCCATGTATAGAGTCAGTCTTTCCAGCACCATTTATCATACAGCCTATCTTTCTTCCAGGGAAAGTGCTTAGCATCTTTGTCAAAGATAGGGTGGATGAGTTATTTGCACCTGTGTCTGCGTTTTCTAATCCATTACACTGATCCTCAGGTCTTTTATTTTAACAGTACCAATGCTGATTTTATCTTAGTAGTTTTGTGGTATAATGTTGAATCAAGGATTGTGATGTCTCCTCCCTTGACTTTGTTGCTCAGAAATTCCTTTGCTATTCTAGGTCTCTTTTGCTGCCAAATGAATTTTAGGAATGTTTTTTCTAGTATTGTAAGGTATGCCTATGTTTCTTTTTATTGAGATTTCATTAAATTAGTACAACAATTTTGGGAGTCTGCCCATTTTGACTGTTTTGTTTCTTCCTATTCATGAGCAAGGAATATCCTTAAATTTTCTGATATCTTCTTCAATCTCCTCTTTCAGAAGACTGTAATGTCCAGTGTATAGATCTTTTATTTCCTTTGTTAGATTAGTTCCTACGTGTTTCATTTTTTGGATGCTATTGTGAAAGA